AGAAGAAGACTTGTAGGAGACAATAGTTGACGAGACAAATAATCCTCAACCTGAACATTTAGCTAAGACATGACAACAACCCCAAGGATTATCACTAGACAATGTTATTGGAGAAGTCTCTAAAGGGTAAGTACTCGTAGAAACTTAGCAAATTATTGCATGACTATGACTTTTATTTCATAGTTAGAACCTAAGAACGTCAAGGAAGCTCTTGAATACGATCATTGGTGTCAAATCTATAAAATATTTAAGATTGTAATCACACTAGTAAAAAAAATAATTTTGTAAAACAATTTATACTAGTTATAATCCATCAGGTATAAAAAGTGGTGTAATGACATAATTGTAAATATGATAACACTTTTTATATCGATTATAATTATAAGGTTATACTCTTTTTGGTCCCTCCAAGGGGGCAAATGTTTCAATTGCTCTACATTTTTTTCGAAGTTCATGTGTTTCTGAACCCGACTTATGAAAAAAATATGCAATTAAGGTCCTTTTTTGGTAACGGCGTTATTTTTTATACGTGCAGCTGCCCACCCAACAAAAGTTAATGACGTGTACCAGTTTCTCTCGACTGACGTGGACAACCCTAATTACCCCCTGCTTCCCTTGGTGCGCCAGCACCATGGGCACCGTAGGCCGCCGTCAGCCAACCCTGCCGTCATTGCATCAACCTCCGCCATCACCCACACTCACGTCCGTCGCCGGTAGCCACCACCGTCACCAATACAGAACGCGAACGCCAAAGTCGCGAGTTCCTCCATCATCATCTTCTCATCTCTCCTCTACTTCCATCCCACCATGAGACACTTTTCAGGCCGCCGTAGAGCTGCAGGACCGCCATCCACCATGACCCATTGCAAGAGAAGCTCTCTCGCCACAACCTGTAGAAACCCAAACGGAGAAAAAATCCCCAATTCCACCAAAAATCTTTCGAACCTAAATCACCGCCACACAACTCTTCTCATTCATCTGCTGTAGTTTTCTCCCACCTTAGGCTAGCCAACTCAACGCCTCCACCAGACCTAAATCGCGCCATCTCCCCCCTACGATAGAAACCCACCAATGGCCATGTTCATCATCTCTTCGCACGTAGAACCATCACGCCGCACCTCCAGATCGCACCTGCACACCATGGTTTCTACACCTTCGCAAAGCATGAGCCCCCTGCAAGAAAGAAATCTAACAGAGTCCAGATCCAAATTGTTAATTCTGATCGCTCACCATGGTTTCTAAATCACATCTTTAGGGAGCTTTACGGTTTACCAATTGTGCTGGGCACAAGGAAGCTAGGGTTTCGGAATTAGGGATTGCCACGTATTAACCTTCCCCAGACCGTTGCAAACTTCATCCACCATGTTAGCTGGCCCGTTAAAAAATTAAAGCCGTTACCAAAAAGGATTAATTTCCATTTTTTTCATAAGTCAGGAACCATTGAACTTCGAAAAAAAACGTGGGACGCAATTGAACATTTGCCCCCTTTCGAGGGACCAAAAGAGGTATTAAACCTAATTATAACATGTATGTAAAGTGGACGTAATAGTATTTTTGTAATAAAGATAAAATCTTTCTAAAGTGGTTCTAGTTATAATCAATATAGAAAATGGATGAGTTGACATTTTTGTAGTAAATAAAAAAAATTTCTATACTGATTCTAATTACAATTGGTATAAAAACTAGACTCAGTGACATTTTTATAATAAATAAGAAAAGTTTGAGTATTGCTTATACTTATAACAAGTATAGAAAATAGTTTCTTAATGTTATTTTCATATTTGTAAATAGAGGTTTTAATTATTCATGCTCGCATTGCATTTTTATCCTCTTTTCATCTTTCCTTCTATTTCTCTCTAACTGTCAGGCTTTCTTTCCTTGTCACTTTTTCTTTGTCTCTTTCTTCGCCCCTCTCTTTGCCATGTCCAAGCCATCATCCACCTTCGATGCTCTCATGTCCACTGCCAAGAAGAATTCCAAATCCAAAACACCCAAGCTTTCATCTCCTCGTAAGAAAAGAAAATATCCACTTTCCACTTCCTCACAGAACCCTAGCAAGCCCAAATCCCCCAAACTATCTTCTCCGCCCATAATCATTGAATCGAAGCAAGCAATTAAATAAGTTGTTAAACCAAAAGGTATTTAGTTTAAACCGCATAAGGTACACCAATTGTCTTCATCATCTTCTTCAAATGAGATGACCGAGGAGCTGAAGAAGCAAGTTTCATGGCTGAAGCAAAGACCTTCTAGTTTCAATCCTACTTTAATGATTTCATAGGAGAAGGGACAACCTATTTTGTTTCTCTTTCTCGCTTTGGCATTATATAATTTCTCAAGAAAGTAAAAAAATAGTTATCAATGACATTATTAATGTTAAAATATGTATTAAATGAATTTTTTATTTTGTATAGCCATAGTAAAATGTTTAATTATTTTGTTATTTGTTTATAATAATTTTGTAGTCGTTTCAAATATAAAATAGAAATTGAGAAATTATATTAAACGAATTTTTGTTAAAGATTGCTTAATTTCTAGAATTGGTCGTACCTATATAAATTTGTCAACGCTTAATATTTGATGTTAATTTAATAAAGGTTTAATACCTCTTTTGGTCCCTAGAAAGGGGACCAATGTTCAATGTGGTCCCACCTTTTTTTAGAAGTTCAATGTGATCCCATCTTTTGTAAAAAGTGTGCAATCAAGTCCTTTTTGGAAACGGCGTTAAGTTTTTAACGGAGCAGCTGACAGGGTGGACTGAAGTTAGCTACGTGGCTTTGTGTGGGTAATACTTGGCAGTGAGAGGGTGATACGTGGCTGTGAGAGGGTAAATCAGAAATTAGGGTTTGAGTTGTAGAGAAATTGGGATTTATTGTCGTGTTTCTTCTGAAGGATGTTCATCATATTCTTCAGGTAAGAGCACTGAATTATAATATATAATATAGAATCACAAATTACAATATATAGACAGGAACTTTGTTCTGATCCAAGATATGGTTGCAGAAACCCACCCATCATCCTTCCTTGTTGTTTTTCCCAGTCCATCTTTCACTGCAACTTTTGGAGTTTCTTCCACACTTTGGCTAGATCTTGTATTCAACAAGCTCTCAAACCTTCTATGCCTTAAAAGGACACCACCTTCAGTATTCACCATGACAGAATTTGTGAGCACTACACGCTAACAGAGGCCACCTGAAAAAACCAAAACCAAAAGCAGAATAATTCGTATGTTATCACTTAAATGTGCATTGAGGAATCCCATGAACAAAAACCAATACTAATATCTTGCATAGAACATTACCAAATACCTTTCTCCCAGTTCAATTGAAGGATCAATCACAAGGGTCGGTGGTCAATTAAAAAGAGAGTGGAATTTTTCAAGAACAAAATACACCAGCAACTGATAAAATTCAGTTTTTTTTTTTCAAGAAAACTGAATGGATAAAACCCAGAACTCCCATTTTCCGCCAGTTAACGAAAATGGTGAAAAGTTTCAAACTTTAAAATGAACACTGAAGATTGTGGGGGTTTCTTCTACTATATTTCGAAGGAATTTTATACTATTTTATACCATTAGTCTTTTTATTTATCAGTCTGACAGCAATTGCTTGAAGAAGACCGAGCAAAGAAGCACCTGTGAGTTGTAAACATGGAATTGACTTTAGCTCCTGAGAAAGCTGAAATGAAGGAAAATGGAAGAAGTCAAATTCCACTGGTGCCGCCGCCGATGACTCTAGCAAACTGGGTAAGAAATGTAAACACTGAGAAGATCCTTTACCCCAACTTTTCAAACACGACGAACACCCTTCAGAAGAAACACGACAATAAATCCTAATTTCTCTGCAACTCAAACCCTAATTTCTGATTTACCCTCTCACAGCCACGTATCACCCTCTCACTGGCCAAGTATTACCACACAAAGCCACGTAACTAACTTCAGTCCACCCTGTCAGTTGCTCCGTTAAAAACTTAACGCCGTTTCAAAAAGGACTTGATTGCACACTTTTTACAAAAGATGGGATCACATTGAACTTCTAAAAAAAGGTGGGACCACATTGAACATTGGCCCCCTTCTAGGGACCAAAAGAGGTATTAAACCTTTAATAAATAAGTTAGATGTAAACAATTAAAATAGTAGGAGATGAAATTAAAATTAAAGTCAAATTAGTAAAGTAAATAATTAAACCTGGACAAAATATATTAATTTTTTATTTACTATTCTGTAATTCTTTTTAAAAAATCACTAAACACTAGCTACATGAAAATCAGAAACCAATAATATTTGTCTAGCTTCCATTAATAAGCAACATTCATTCCTCCCCACCATCTACGCTGCTGAGATCTTATGTGCCTCGCATTTTCTTTTCTTATGCATCCTTCACATTCTCTTTATTTCTTTTTTTTTTTCTCTCGACAAAGGCTTTAATCTTCTCAATATCTTCAAGAAGATAACAGTGTCATATTGTTAAAAAAAATAATATAAAAGAAAGATAAAAACATTTTGAAATCCATAACGTCTCGAGGAATTTATGGTAATTTCGTCTTTGCTTTTTTGTATATATAATTTTACTTTTGAATAAATAATTACATTATATAATTTACGGTATTTAAAGCATCAAGTATATATATAAATGTATATATGGATAGATAGACAAACAATTATACATTATATACCTTTTATTTAAATGAACATAAAAATTAAATCGCATAAAAAGCATCCCGTAAATAACACATTGGTAAAATAATACCAATGGATGTGTATAATAAGAATAAAAGCGTAAATAAATTAGTGAGACAATATTTTCACTAAAACCAAGTAGGAGTAGTAAATACACAATTACACAATTCAAACGTGTGAAAATAAGTAATTTTGTTATTTACATAATTACGACGAGTATTTTATTTTTACACTTAATTACATTTAAGTAAGAGTTCTCTAAACAATCTTTGATAATAGTGGATGTAAAATACTAGAAAAAAAATATTAAATATGTAATGTTTTGATGGTAGTAAATTAAATATACAGTACCTGAGCTGACAAATAATAATAAATTTGATTAAAGTCCTGCATATCTGATTTTGCGAAATTTAACATGGCACGTTAAAAATCCTGCATATCTGTTTTTGCGTGGTGTGCACTCTGTTTGAAAATGGCAGCAGATCCGAAGCAAATTAAACCTGGCGATATTAATGCACCACACCACGTGCAAGTCTTCTACTTCCATCATTTATCTTATATCGATTTTTGGTTCATCATATAGAAAAAGGAAAATGGACTGTGGAAGGCTGGAAAGTGCACATTTGGATCCATGATGACATGGATAAGGGTGCTGCTGCTGCTGCTGCCGTTTTTGACACGTGTGTAATCATTGCATTGTACACGGCACCTATGGACCCTCTTTCTTTTCGTTTCTACAATTCATTCTGTCATCACTCCTTCATAACGAATATTATGTCACCTCTATGTATCCTTTACTCAACAACCGTTAAGCAACAAGTAAAAGAGAAAAGGAAACATTCAAAATTAAGATTAAAAGCTACTTTACTTTTTGCCTATCTATTTCCTCAAACCATTATATAGAGCTTACTATGAGATACGTTGTGTAATCAATATGTAGTGAAGCACCACTTGCCAATTTTGCTTCATTGGTACATAATCACCAACATTTTCATGTGAACCGATAGCCCTTCACTTTCAATTAAACCCATGTAATACCTCCTCACTGCTTTTTATCTCTTTTAATCATCAATATACATATTTAGCAACTTCAATAATTGAAGATCATCACCAAAAAGACAATAGCATTCACAAATGGACCAGATTCACTTACATGGGTATCTATTCATTTAAAAAAAATGATTCTAACAAAAAATATGGGAAAAGGAGAACATGGTTTCCATTATTAACCGAGCAAATCCATAAATTTAGACATGTAGGGTAGGTGCATGGATTTGAAGAGTCATTACTCCCTTTTGTTTATTAAAAGGGTAGGTTGTAAGTTCGGTGGTCATTGTAAGTGGTTGTTAATTTTGTGTATTTTGGTAATGCAAAGCATATACCTTGAAATTCAATCATAAAGCCGCATATGAGATGTAGAAGACTTTAATTAGTCTGTGCAGTCATTTCTTAGGAACCAGGCACACGTGGTCCCCACAAAAAATAGGGGAATCATCATAGCTCGGGATGGAGAGGATATTCCAAATGACCTAAAAGAAAAAAAGTGGAAAATATAAAAAAGGTAATTGAAGCTACGGAAAGCTGAAGAGGAAACATGCAGGCTAACGGGAAGGTCGAAGAAAAAATACTTTTTCACAGAAAATTACCAAGTAACGATTAATGTTCTATCCATTAATTCTTCTAATAATGAATAATAAAAACAGCCGTAAGAATTAGATGAATTCCTTATTGTACTGGAAAACACTGAAAGAGACAGTCTCAATTACAATACCAAATTCTAGATCACCCATTCAATGCGGGAATTTTTGTTTTCTAATTGTATATTTCCCACAGAACCCAAATTGATTTTTTTTTTCTTCATCGTCTCACAGGAAGGTTCTACGCTTGTACTACTTCTATTCGAGTGCGGAGTAGCAGAAAAACCAGCTTCTTGTTAGAAAAAAGAGAAAGCAGTTAGCTATACAAAAACTAACCCACCACTACCAGCACTATCGCCGTCTCTCCGGAGCAACCAGAAGTCGCACGCTCGTTTTCGTTTTACCTTGTGTCAGGTTATCTACCTCCCCAATCACCAATCACCAGTGTCTAATGGCCAGCTCGATAATAAAGTCACTCTCTCTTCTCCCCTTAACCGTCTACCTCGATTAATCTCTCTCTAAAATTAAAATAACTCTCTCTCTCTCTCTCTCTCTCTCTCTCTCTCTCTCTCTCTCTCTCTCTCATTCAAAGCATTCAATGTAAACGAACCCACTGGTAGCGACCCTCCAACGGCGTATCTCTAACAATATCAAAGTTGTACCTGCATACAAGGAAAAGTTATTAGTTAGTTAGGGTTCGATTATGGCTCCTCTACACTGTAAGCACGACCACATTCCGTATCCTGTGTCGCGCAAGAAAAAAAGAAAAGGGAAAGTTAGTTGTAGCCATCAACAGATTTAGTATACCACTACTTACTTCTCTACGAATCGCTTCTGCTCGTACTTTTCAGCCATTGCGAAAAACTCTTCGATCTCCGCCTTAGGCGGCTCCTTGACTTTTCGTTTCTCGGTCACCTCCGCCGAAGACTTCGCCGGAAACATCGTCGATTCTTCCGAGTCTCCAGAAAACTCACTCAACAAGCTGAACAGACAGCCAATAACGAATAAATAAATGATGCATTGTTTTAGTGGCAACGCTTGGTTAGAAAATTGCTCGCGAATGTATGAAAAAGAAGGTAGAATGAACTAAAACCTGGACGATTTGAAATTGTGGTTGGTTGAATGTACCGTTTTGAAACCCTTGGTCTGCATTAACCAGCGAATATCAATAAATACATGTAAAAAAAAAGTTAAATAGGTTAATTATAATTAAAGACAGTAATTAGAGCAAGAAAGAAAAAACTACAAGGACTGTTTGGCATCCAAAAATATTTGGACGCAAATCGGAAAACTATGAAAGTGCACAATTCATAGTAAGTCAGAATTTGAAGACCCAAAACCTGCAGATCTAACGGCGCGGTGTGGAGCTCCTTAACGTGGCTGGAGCTACAGCACGATCGATCAGAGCAAGGTTCACCAGAAACCACGGTGCCGGCGGAATTGACGGAAGCTTCCGGCGACACGATAGTGTCGGGAAACCAGTGGTGCGTGTCGGAAGAGCGTAACTGGAAGGAAGCAGAATTAGCAGTAGCCGCGGTCTTCCGTTTCTTGGAAATGGTGGGTTCACTTGAAGATGCTTCTTCCATAGGCACAATTGTGAGAGTGCATCGTTTACACTCACTCATATTTTTTTTGTTGATGTTGTTCTTCTTTTATTGATCCTCTCTCTATGTGTGAGGTTGTTTCTATTTTCAGATGGGCTAGTCGTATAGAGGGAGGTGGAGGGAGCTTAAAAAGAGGATGATCACAGAGGAATATTTACTGAGCGTAGTGATTCCATCCATGGACGGTTCAGATTTAATTTATTGATCAACAGGTGGCCCCTCTTGTCTCCCTCCCTTCGTCCTTCCCTCGCTACACTAGCCGCTAAACGACATCGTTAGGATGATTGCTACCCTTTAGGCTGTTCGGTTACGCCCAAAAACTCTTCTAAATTAACTTTACCTTTAAATATTAAATCAAGATAGATAAAACATATGTTCAATTTTGGATTTTTATAGGAATATACTCGATAAATTCCTTCAAAAGGAATTCTTTTCAAATTAAAAAATAAAAACAATCATTTCTAAAATCTATCCATCTCTACTTGCTAAATAAATCACACAAAATTATTGAAATAAAGCTTTTTTTTTTAGTTTTTTCTAGTTAGCCAAATATCAACGCGAAAAAATTTTTAACCTGTTCCTGTGCTTATTTGCAACACCCCATGTGAAACGCTTCCTTCTCTGCATGCAGTAGACCTTCACAGAATAAAATTTTTGTTTGAGCCTTTTCTTTCTCTCCTTTTTAATTAAAGTAGATAAAACTCTTTTCACTCTTTTACATAGAGAAAAATATTTTAAGGTATATTTCAATTATTGATTTTATAAATATCTAATAAATAAATAAACGAAATTAACTTTTACTTGAACTAAAGTTACTCTGTTAGAAGGTAAAGTTATTTAGTTTTTCAAAGCAACTAATTCTTCTCTAAAGTGGTTACTTTTTAGTTATGTATTTTTTAAATTTTAATTTAATTTTATACTTAAACTAATTTTTAACTTGCAGCATAACTGTTTTTTCTTTTTTTTATCATGTATCTATAGAAACATTATTCTTAGAAAAATCATTCACTGTGCAAAAACAGGAGTACAATGATTATAGATTTTTAATAAAATGAGTAAATTATATGAGATTCAATAACAAAAGTTTTTAAAGGAATATCTTAAGTTTAAACATGTAAAAAAAATTCAATCATTTCAAGTTAATGAGACGTAAGATTTTTAAAATATATTTTTCGTTCTCTAAATTATTTATCATTAGCATTCTCTCAATTTATTTGAATATATAAATTATTCTTGAAATTGAATAAATTATTTTAAATTTTATCCATTTCATTTTTATTTCGATACTACATTTTCTTAAGGACTTGTTTTTTTTTCTTTTGTCTTATTCATTTTTATTTATATTCCTATCTAGCAATCTATATTTAAAATTTTATCAATAGACACAAATATTTTTATATCACAACTTAAAATGTAAAATATAAACTATATTCGTGCAGCGTGTAAAACTGAAAGTATTTGATAACTAACAAGTCTCTTGTTACGGTACTTTCGTAATTTTTTGTACTTGTTTTCAAATATTATACAAAAAATTTATAATATATATTTGAAATTTCATCATAGAAAACATTTCTTAATAAATTGTTTTACTATATCATTGCATGTTGAGATGACAAATATATCATACATGGCATGAAAAGGTAAATATCGTGGTGAATATATTGTCATAAATAAACTTTAGGGTAAATTTTTATTGAATTTCAACTGTTGCATCTTAAAAGCAAATTATGATTCCGTTTCAAAATATATAGTTTCCATGAGACTTAATCTACCATTAACATTTGGAATCTTTAAGCTTTAATTATTCTCATGATAATCAATTACAATTAAACAAGGTGTCTCTTTCTAATAATTCTTTCAAATTAAAAATAAGAGAAAAGAGCGAAAAAAAACTTCGTTTTCTTTATTATCGAAGGAAAATGGTGAGCTGTTAATTTGATAGTAATTACTTGTTCAAAGTTAAATATCAGTGTATGCTATAAGAAAAAATAGGTAAACTTTTGTGTCTCCTTATATTTAAAAACATATTATACCACTAGTAAAAAAAGCGGATTTTGACGCTCCATATACGCTTCGGTTATTGAGAAACCGAAGCGTACAAGGTTATATACCTCGGTCTCCATCCAACCCGAGGTCCAAAAGCCATATTGCTTTGGTTAACACAAAACCGGTGTCTATAACATAACTACCGCCTCAGTTTGCTACGAAACCGGTGCCTAAACCCCTTCCTATTCCTCCCTATTGACTCGGTTAAAGGTAAAACCGAGGCCTATTACCCGGTCAAATCAGCACCTGACCCACTTTTTCACTTTTTCCTCTTCTTTCCTTTGACACTCATCTCACTCTCATCTCACCTCTCGTTCTTTCCTCGTCTCACTCTCGTTCTTCCTCGTCTCACTCTCGTCTCACTCTCGTCTCACTCTCGTCTCACTCTCATCTCCCCTCTCGTTCTTTCCTCATCCCACTCTCATCTCACTCTCATCCGGCAGAAACAGAGAGGGCGCGATCTCTCTTCTCCTCTCCCACTTGACAGCCACGGTGCGAGGACGAGACGCGATGGTGGCGGGCGTCGAAAGCGAAGGAGAGGCGCGATGGTGGTCGGCGTCGAAAGCGAAGGGGGCGCGATGGTGGCCGGCTTCGAAATCGGAGGGGAGTCGCGATGGTGGCCGGCGTCGAAAGCGGAGGGGAGGCGCGATCTAAGGCGTTTGGTGGGAGGTTCATCGATCTACGAATCGCGGTGGTTTCTGTGGAGGCGAGGTGGCGGCTAGGTCACACCGCGAACGCAACGGCGACGAGGACGCAGCGGCGGCGAGGACGCGGCGATCTGTGGCGGTGGACGGAGAGCAGATATGCGCGCATGGAGGGGCGGAGGGCAGATCTGTGGCGGTGGAAACGACGCTGCTTCTGGTGGCCGGAGATGCTCCTGTTAAGTCCATCTTCGTCTCTGCTTCTGAGTTTCTTCAGCTTAAGTCCATCTTCATATCTCTGTATGAGTTTCTGAATCTGATTTTTTTCTCATTGTAATTTGTAATTTGTGGGTTGTAATTTGGACATTGGTGAGTTCATGATCTTTGCTGCATCTGTACACAGATTGTTGACGATTATTGGTTGTTGTAATACTGGGATTTGTTTCATTTCTGTTATAATTTTCTTGGTTGTGTTAGATTCTTGAGCTGAATGGGAAATTTTGAGTTTGGTTGAGAATGAACGAGGAAAGTCTGAAAAAAAAAGAAAAATACACACGCTATTGCCTCGGTTCTTAGATAACCGAGGCATATTTCTGTTTCTATTTATCTCGGTCAATAACCGAAGCATAAACCTTAATCCTTTTACTTCGCCTCCGAATGCCTCGGTTGTAGAACCGAGGCCTATAAACATTTACAACCGGTGCCTTTACTCTTTATTGTACTAGTGTACGAATAAAATAAAAATGTAATCCAATAAGAGTTATTGTTATTATCTCTTCTTATTCCCAAATATTTCTTTTTGAAGTTATCTAGTTTAAGAAAACTTCATTTAATAAAACATTTATGTTATGAAAACCTTTATAACTGAGAGGGGAAAAAGTACAAACTAGAAGTTAGATTGTTCGAAAAGAATATTATGTTGGCTAGACATCTATAAAATTTATATGTCTAAATGTTCTTATATATTTTAAAGTTTAACAAAATAACATTAAATGAAATGCGAATTTAAAGATACTATAACTAAAATATAAAGATAGCATAAACATAAGTGTTAGGCTCAAAATCCCTAATCATCTAGTAACATAGGAAAATTCTTAGAAAAACACTTAGGATTAAACAAGACGCAACACCAAACGATTCCCAAAATCAAAGCGTTTATGAGAGTCATGCTAATCACAAAAACTATACCATACCAAACAATAATTAGCTAAACTCTCAAACAGATAAGCGTATGAAAGTGTCGAGACAATGTTTTTAGCAAAGCCTTAAGAGTCTCAAGTAATATTCCAAAAACATGTGGAAAGCAAACTTACTAAATGCTCTAGCTGAAGAAAGCAAAATCTCAAAAGTGTTTACAATGAACTAGACAATACCATGAGCAAAACCCTTCACTTCGTCCAACGATGAAGTTCTTATTCAACGCTTTGTTAAGATAAAAATCGTCTATACGCCCAAACACTCTCATGTTTTGAGTTTAACCAAATAACATTAAAACGGGCTAATAAGCTGAAAACAACTTGGGGTGAAAAACCTAGAACAAAAATCCTCAAACATAGAAAACATACACAAAGACTTAGGACTAGAATCCACAACATAGAGAAACTTAGGAAAACACTTAGAATTTTAGGTAATAGAAAAACATCTAGGCTAGACGCATAACTGAACACTATTGTGCCTAAAGCATCTAAGAGAGTTGAAGTAAAACACTTAATGCACATCATACCTAAGAAAGGTATTTAGCATAACTCTTAGAAGAAAAACAGTTGAGACAATGTCTCTAACAAAACACTTTAAAAGACTTGAATTATAAATATATAAAAAGAATGTTTTAACAAGCTAAACACTATCTATCTAAAAAGAGACAAAACCAAAAGAAGTGTTTACTGACTAAATGATACCATAAGCATAAAAAATGTTTCGTCCAACAATGAAGTCTCTATACAATACTTGACATCTTTAGAAAAGAGCTTAATTGCAAAAAGCTACCTAATGATAGAAAATCAAAAAACACTTTGTTGTTATGAGTAAGCATTAAATGACATTAGATGTTACATGTTCAAAAACAACAAAAGTGATAAGAAAATACATATTTATTGCATGCACAATTTACTCTACTCTTTGCAGATAAGTTATTCTACATGCATTCACAGAGTTACAAATCAAATATAAAAAGTGGACGTTAGAGATAAAGAAGATATTCACTGAATGTTCTTGTCTTGAAGCCATACCAAAAAGGAACATACAATCTACTTCAAACAAAGTACTGAAAAAGAATGTTTGCTTTGACAATTACCTAACGATTATTATACAAAGAAGAGAAAGCACGAGTATCAAGGCTAAAAGCACAAGTCTAACAGACAAATATTCATGAAGCCTTTAAATAGAAGAGATTTCGAAAAGAAAATCAAGAGGATGGCTTAAGAGGATAGTCAAGTAAGAAGCTTACAACAAAACATTCATCCTACAAGCATTCAAAAAAGAAGAAAGCAAAGAGCT